CGACGAGGGACCTGCCCAGCAGTACCGCCGCTTTGCAGAATATCTCCATGGCACTGTATTCCCAGAGTTCGTGAGTGCTCCTCCCCTGTGTGTCTCCTTCAGGGTCACAGCCAAGCCTTGCTCTCACACCTTCTGCCAGGGTGCAGCAGGGACTGGCTCCGGGGTAGGGCAGCCAGGAACTGTGGGGGACCCCAGAGCAGGCAGTGTCCTCACCAGCAGGCACAGTCCCCCAGGGGGGCAGGTTACAGGGTCCATCAGCAGCCCCAGACACACAAAGTGAAGAACCAGCTCCAGGGTGCATCCAAGAAACAAAAGGAGACAGCACCAGAGACATGGCTACAACACAGCTCTAAAGTCCATCTAGGGCTGGAGACAAGCTGCAATGTCCATCTGAGGGGTCCATCTAGGAGATGAGTTACCTACAGCAAAGGTCCACCTAGGAGACAGAAGCAGAAACCAGCTTACCCACAGCAATGCTCCTGTAACAGCTGAAGGCCCTTATATGGGCTGTGGGCAGGGGGGTGGGTGGAGGCCTCAGGTGATGCTGGTCTGGGCCATTAAAGACTATTTGTGCCTTCAGGGCCCTGACATGTCCATGGCCAGCCATGCGGGCAGGGCTGCAGCAGAGCATGGGATGGTGGGAAGCCAGGCGTACCGTTTATTTGACTCACACAAGGTGTTTGCCACCAAACCTCAGTCCAACCTACCCACACTCTGTGGGCGTCCATACTTGCCTTTGGGACCCAAGAGCCCCCCATCTGTCTCCTTCCACCACCCCTGACTGGTTCTCCAGGACTCCCTCTTGGGTGGTGGCTGCCACCATGCATGCAGTCAGGGAGGTTTTCCGAGCAGTGAAGAGTGTGGCAGGGCAGCCTGAACCCCGCACCTGGATGCCGGCATCCCCAGGGAGCGCCAGCAGGCGGAGGGAGGGTAGCTATGTGGGATAACCACACAGACCCTGGGCTGAGGGCCTCTGTCAAACCAGGACACTATGACCTGCATGGGACAGTCACTGCGGCACCCCTTTGGCACATGGGACCTTGTGTGTGAGGGTCCTACCCAATGGTTTGCATGGAACTCAAGGTGTGAACTGTGGCATGCATGACTGCTCTCTACCAAGGGTTTGCTTTGGTTGGCATCCTATGTGCCTTCAGGGAAAGACGCCTCAGATGCTCCCCACTCCACACAAGCCCTTCAGCAGGTCCCCAAGCCTTTTCTCCTCTGTAAGACCTGTCGGGGGGGGGCTTACGTGGAGATTTGTGTTCTCTTGCCCCACAGAAGCGACGGCTGGACAGGCTGGTCTGCCAGCCACTCTGCAGCCTCTCAGACATGCTGGTGGGGCCACAGCAGCTCGTCAAGAAGCGCCTGGACAAGCTGCTGGACTATGAGGAGATCCAGGAGCGGAAGAGTGAGATGGGCAGCGTGACATACGACGAGGAGGCAGCCATGAATACCTACCTTGCCATCAATGCCCTGCTTGTGGCCGAGCTCCCGCGGTTCAACCAGGTGGCTCTCCAGCTTCTGGGGCAGATACTGTGCTCCTTCAGCACCCTGCAACGGGACTTGGCTGCCCAGGTCCTGCACCAGGCAGAAAAGGAGCTGGAGCAGGTAAGAGTGACCGCTTGGCGTGTGCGCCCAAACCAGTGCGATTGCTGAGCCAGACCTGCCTTCTTCAGGCTTGGGGCATCACTGGGATGTCAGGGCACTGAAGGTTTGCTGTAGCCCAAGCCTGCCCTTGCAGACACACAGCTCCCTGTCTAGCATTTGTAAGTGATCTCTCCTCCCCTTTCAGCTGGGGAAAGCCAAATTGTCTCTTCTTCACTGCCAGGAACTGTCCTGTGCTCTCTTTGAGGACACCACTGGTAATTTGTTGATGTGCTGCCTGAGAGATCAGTGTTAACGCTGCGCTCCCGAGAGCTCTGTGCTGGGAAGGCAAGGAGGAGAAGGACAGCTCCTGGCCTGAGGAATGAGCATCCCTCGAACCTCCATCCCCTGGGAGATATCTCCCAGGACTCCTCACTGCCCAGCACTCTCTGAGCCTGATGTTTGCAAACGTGGTGGGTCAGGCCAGTCCAGAGCCCTGCGGCAGAGCACGGCCCTGGCCTGACCCGTGAGCAAGATGAGAACAAGATGCAGCCACATGGAGATGTCTTCTCAGGCACTGCTCGTACAGACCTAGACATGACAGCAGATTCCTCTTGCTGCAGACATCTACCCCAGAGCTACATCCACCACCAGCTGCATCCATTCCTTTTTAGTCTGTGGGCTTGTGGCAGGACAGCAGGACGCAGGAGCTGCTGCGGTGGGCTGGGTACAGCCCAGGAGCCCCGTGTGTGACTGCCCTGCCCAGGGCAGGTGGCTCAAAGCCAGAGAGCAGCAGCTCTCTTTGCCAAAGGGAACCACGTCCTAGGTGCAAGGTGCATCTTTAGTGACAAGGTCTCTTCTCTTGCTTCCTGCTCCCTCTCTTTTGACCCTACCCACAGCTCCTCCCCAGGGCCCCCTCTGATCTCAGGGTCTGTCTTCACAGATGCCCCATGGCCGTATGCCTGTGCCCAGTTTCTGGAAGATGGTGGAAGACACCTTGCGGCAGTCTGGGGCTCAGCTCCATTCCTTCTGCCAGACGTTTGAGACGGTCACACCAAGCCCTGTGACACAGGTAGGAGCTGGGAAGGGGGTGTCTCAGACCAATGGGATGAAGAGGTAGGACTGTGGCTTCCCAGTGCAGAACATCTCCTCGGGGGGAAGGTTGGCTCAGAAAGTGGCACGGGGGATTGCCACAGCCACAGTATTTCCCCCAAGCTCCCAACAGCAACTGGCTGGGAACAACCGGGGATGAAACAGTCTCAGCTCTTCTGGTTCTGGATGCTTGTTTCCAAACCAGGAAGGAGAGCAGATAGCGTGAAGGAGTTTCTCCTTACCCTCTCACGGGGATGTGATCCAGCAGAAAGGAGAGCACGTGTACATGGAGGGCCTCAGTCTCCTGCCTGTCTCATCAAGTGCTCCTGTGTCTCTTGCTCCCCACCAGCCTCTGAACCCTGCCGAGGAGCGGAAGGTCCTTTCCCTCGTGAGCAAGCACGGCCCAGACAAACTTTACCAAGTGACAAGCAACATCAGTGGCAGCAAAGACTTGGACCTGACCTTGCAAAGGGGACAGATTGTAGCTCTGCTGCAGAGTGTGGACACTAAGGGGAACACAAGCAGATGGCTGGTGGATGCTGGAGGTACTGTGAGTGCGACTGGGAGCCTCTCCCTGCTTTGGCACCAGGGTCAGAAACCAAACCCAAACCACTTTCTCATCTTGGATGAAGCAGCGGGCCATTGCCTCCCAGGTCCTCCCTTCCAGGGTTTGCTCAGCCCAAACTCACCTCTGCTTTGCCAGCTGTACCCGTAGCCATTAGCTGTAAAGTTCAGGTTTCCCCATGAGGGAGCACTCGTGGCTCATCATGGCTGGGAAAGGAGAATCCCCTGCACACACAAAAATGTCTAAAAACCCCTTTTTGGGGGGGTTTGCTGCTGGATATCCCCTAGTGATGGACCAGTTTGAACAGGGCTGCTGTGCCATGCCAGGCAACAGCCAAGTTGTCCTTCCTCTCTCCTCCAACCAGTCCTACATGTGCCAGGCAGTGGGGGCCCCATGACCTCTCTGTGTGTGCATGTCCTCCAGGTCCCCGAGGGTTTGTGCCTGCTGGAAAACTCCAGCCCTATTGCCCGGTGCAAAGCCAGCAGCCCGGGATGCAGATGCCAGCCTTGGAGAACAGCACAGAACGAAGGCGATATTCGTATGCACCACCTGAAGCTCCCAGGCCCCAGGTGGCCACCTTCACCCCAGCTTTCCAGGTGAGAGAGGGGGACACCCCCCAGGCCCATTCCTAGCAACCCCAACAGCTCCATGCTAGTCCTGGTGTGTCCAGCGTGTGGGTGGGAAGGTGGACCTGCTTTTCCAGCATGCACGTGGTCATACATGTGCAGCCATGTGCCTAGCAGGGGAGTGTCACAGCGCCTGGCCAGTGAGGCTGGTGTCTGCCTTGCTGGGACCTGGGGTGGGCAGAGCAAGAGAACTGTACTTGGTGGGGTCCCTGCATCGATGTCAGTACTGTGCTGCCCTCTTGGAAATGACCTCCATGTCCCGTCTAGGTCCTGCCATGTACGGCCTTTCTCCCTTTGTCTCTCACATCCAACAAGGGCTTCCTCCCCCCTCCCCCTGCTTTTTGCAGGTGGTCGCCGGCTTCTCCTTCGCAGCCCGGAGTCCGCAGGAGGTGAGCCTCCAGGCAGGGCAGCCCGTGGTGGTGCTGGAGCCACACGACAAGAAGGGGAGCAAGGAGTGGAGCCTGGTGGAAGTGAATGGCCAGAGGGGCTATGTGCCCTCCAGCTACCTGATGACTGTCCCTGTGCAGGAGCCCATGGGCTGGAGCTTGCCTGTGTGAGCACAGCCAGCCTGGCACCCAAGGGCATGGGCTTCATCGGACGAGAGCAGTCTGCTTGGCACCCGAGGACTCGTCACGGGAGATGCTGGAGGGGGGTGGCCGTGGTGGCCCTGGGTCAGGGAGGCAGTGGGAAGCAGCTGGCAGAATATGGCCCCAGGGGATGTGGGTGCGAGGGACGGCAGTTGGGAGGCACGTTTTGATGGGTAGGTGTGAGGGTGCCATGTCCCATATGTGTTTGCACAAAGGAAAGGAGCATGAGGGAGTGAGGGCAGGTGGCTGCAGTCTTCCAGGGATTTGCTGAAATCCATGTCAGTGACGAAAGTGTCCCTAGGGGTGATGAGACAGCATTGTCCCCAATTAGATCAGGACCAAGCTGCAAAGAGAGCAGTGCTGCAAGAGGGGGTCTTCAGCCTAGCACGGAGCATCTGGGGCTCGTGGGAAAAGGCTCTCAGGGGAACTGCTGGCTTGAGTGCAGAGACCAGGATGGAGGAGCCCCGGAGACACAGCTCCCCGCTCCTCCCCAGGGTGTCATGCCTGCTCAGGTGCCCACCCTGATGTGTCACCGTGGTCCCTTCGGCAGAACGGCCTTCACACCCTGCTGAA